GGTCCGGTCGTGGGGCCTGAACTCTGGGCCTGGGCGCTGTCCCTCAGTTCTTCAGCTCAAGGCTAGCGCTCTACCACCTGAGCCACAGCGCCACTTCCGGCTTCTTTCTTTTTTGCTTATGTGGTGCTGAGGAATCGAACCCAGGGCCTGAGGCATGCAAGGCAAGTGCTCTACCACTGAGCCACCTTCCCAGCCCAAGTGCTAAGATTTCTTGATTCTTCTTCTCCTTCTCCTTCTTTGTGCTGGTACTGAGATTTGAACTCCATGCCTTGCACTTTTGCTTGGCTTTTTTCCTTAAGGCTGATGCTTCCTGGTTCTACCTCTTAATCTTTCCTACTCACTTTTTCATCCTCAGGATTCTGTCTGTCTGTCTGTCTCTCTCTCTCTCTCTCTCTCTCGCTCTCCCTCAGCACCCCCAAGCATACTCCCAGGACCCTTTTGACCCTCACCACCAGTCTCTTGGGCCATGGCCATGAGGTTGTTATGGGCAACATCCCGCAGGTTCTGGGAGGCTGAGGTCAGTGTCAGGGCATAGGCCGTGATGGCGGCTGCATGGGCACCCAGGAGCCCCGCACTTGCCTTTTCCCCTAAGAATGAGTTTGCCTTTGAAATGGAGGCTTCCTAGAGGGAGGACAAAAACAGGGAAGAGGGTATTCATTGGATATCCAGATTCTTAGGAGAAAGAGGGACAGCTAGGAACCAGGGAAGGGCAGATACTCGAGCATTCGTACCACTCTCTGCTTCAACTGCTTTGCATTCTCATCTTGGAAGACAGCCAGGCCATGATGAAGGGCAATGACCACAAAGGCAGTGAGTGCCACGGTCTCGTCATTTCCTACCAAGCCCCCCTAAGTGAGAGGACAAGGAGATGTCGGTCAGGAGGGGAAGGGGAAGACACAGTCTTGCCACTGGCTCTTTGCCTGGCCTTCAGTATTCCCATACCTGCATGCCCCTGTGGATAACTGGACACGGGTCATGGAAGGAGCCATCTTCCTGCTGCTGAGACAGCAGCCACTGAGCTGTCTCCTGAAGCTTCTCAAGTGAGCCACCTACTTGTTCCTGGGCCAAGCTCAGAACCTTCAGCACAAAGGCTGTAAGCCTAGAGGAAAGAAAGGAATGGATGGTTAGAGTTGGGCAGTGGGGGACTCAGCCTCACCCTTCAGACTCCTTGCTGTTCACCCTCCCACTGCCCTGGCCCTCTGAGACCTGGAGACACACACACACACACACACACACACACACACACACACACCGCCTCACCAGGTGCTGCTGTCCCGGTGCTGGAGACACACACACACACACACACACACACACACACACACCGCCTCACCAGGTGCTGCTGTCCCGGTGCTGGAGACACACACACACACACACACACACACACCGCCTCACCAGGTGCTGCTGTCCCGGTGCTGGAGACACACACACACACACACACACACACACACACACACACCGCCTCACCAGGTGCTGCTGTCCCGGTGCAACCAGGCCCCATAGGAACCATCTTTCTTCCGAAACTGCTGGATCCGCATGTAGCCTTGAAGAAGAAAAGTAGTTCCTCAGCTCAAACTCACTCTTCCGCAGTCTGTGCACAGGGCCATGGCTCTCCATTCCCCTGCTTCTTTTCTCTAGCCTCCAGAGCTGCCCTCTTTCATGAACCGTCCTCTCCAGCCCCCACTCCTGCCTGCCCCTGTACTCAGAACCTTTCTGGATAAGATCCACAGCGTGATCCTTGGTCTCAGGTTTCAGTTTGCTCCATTGTTCTGTCTTGTCCAGGTAATGGGAAGCAGCCAAAGTTGGGGCCAATAAGGTCATGGTTTGTTCTGCACAGCCCTGAGGAAGCCTCAGGAGGGAGGTCAGGCCTCCTGGGGACAAGGCCCCCTCAGAGCCCAAAGTCTCCAATGGATCTGAGGCTATGGAAGAAAGAAAAAGAAATACAAGACTGGATCTGAGCTCTTAAAGCCAGAGGGTTAAAAAAAAAGGGGGGGGGGGTCCTCAGGCTTCCTGTAGGCCAAAGGTGCCCACTGGAAAAGGGCTGGGTGACAGTCTCACCTGTAACCCTGACAAAGCTGCTAAAATCTCCATCAGGGACAACATTGGGATCAGAGCTTCCAGGAATTTCCAAGCTTCGGCCTCGGTAGTCTGGGGAAAGGGGAAAGGGAGGCAGTGTGTCGCCATCCAATTCTCTGCACCCTATAACCCCAATTCAGGAGGAAGCTGACAGGTGGGAGAGAAGGGTCACTCACCCAGGGGATTGAGTTCATAGGTGATCTCCTCTAAGTATTTAGCCCCTTCCTTCTGTCTCAGGAAAAACATAGCTGTGAGGACTCAGACCCTGTCCTGACAGGGTCAAGGACCCTGAGACAGAGTTGGGGCATAATTGTAGATGATGTGAAGTGATCAAAGTGTTGGGTTTGGGTACTGGAATCCTGGCTTGGCCAACAGAGTGCTGAGGACAGGGGGACCTGAATCTGGGATCGTCCACTCACCTCAATCTTCAGAACCTTGGACACTGCGTCCCCTGTAGGGAATTCAAGGGACCCTCGAGCTACCACCTTCAGGGATATATCAGCAGCTGCCGTGGGCACCACAGAGAAAGCAACAGGCCGGGCCGAACCCGCAGGCACAAGTACTTGCTGGGCCAACCCTCCGCCCCCAGCCAGGCACAGCCCCTCCACTGGGGAGACTTGGACGCTCACCTGAGAACAAGGAAACAGATTCGCAGAGCTCCAGCTCAATCAGGCTTCCCATTCTACCTGTCCCTCACTCTCCACCCTCATGTGGGAGACTTCCCATGGGGCCTCACGGTCAGGTTTTTATTCAGGTAGTTGTAGAGGACGGGTCGAAGCTCCAGCTGCTCAAAGCGGCGCACAGAGACTGGCAAGCGGAGGTGCAGATGGAACTCCCGGAACACCCGGAGCTGGGCTGGCTTGGCCACACACAGGCCTGATTGGTGGAGGACATGGGAGAGCAGAGGTCAGAGGTGGGAAGTATCAAGACTTCAGGGCTATAGGAGGTGGACAGGGAGTGACCTGTTCTCTGGCCCAGGCTAGATGTATGCTAGTACAGAGAGCTGGATCCCTAGACCCATGCTAATAACAAAGGGCTTGGCAGGTTAGGGCGATGTAAGATGGGTGGCCTGAGGCCTAGGCAGGTCAACTTCACCTTTGCTCTTGGATAGGCTCACACCATGGATCTCCCATGTGGTCAGAGAGTCAGGGAGCCATAGTGTCAATCTGTGGTGAAAAGGTAGAAAACTTCCATTATCCCAACTAGCTCCAGACACAGCCCAAAGACAAGGCCAGCATCTTCCCTCCGGCCCCCATCACACCCTTCCCCCAGGTCCTCACGTTTGGGACTGGTCCACTGCCTCCACTCTCCAGAGCCAGTTCTCTGGAAAGAAGCTGCGCACCAGAATGTCATCTTCATCCATCAGTTCCTCCTCTTCCAGGACCTCCAGGACTAGGGACAGTTGGAGGACAGGTTTGTAGCGGGACCATGTGAGCCTTTTAGGTACGGCTTCCTGTTCCTCCAGCCCTACCGGGCTCCTCCTTACCTCGAGCCAGGCTCGCTTTGCCCCTGTTCCGCATTGTCTTTCTCAGGCTCTCAGCAAACTGGCAACAGGACAGGAAGGGCTCTCGACAGTCTGGCTGTCGCACTCGAGCTGCCCGCTGCTCACAGGTGCGTGTCATGGGCAGTCGTGTCAGTCCATCGTGGCAGCAGCGCTTAGCAACTGGGGAAGCATACTGGCCCACTGCAGGGCATGGGAGTGGGGAGCGAGTATGAGCAAACAAAGCCTCAGCCCCACCATAACCCCGAGATCCACTAGGACTTGTCTCAAGATCATGAGAGGTCCATGAGAGAGGCACTGGCTCATCCACTTTCAACCCCAAAACTTAGCTCCCTAACTCTGAACATTTTCTGTTAACTTGCTGAGGAACAGAAGAGAGAGAGATCCCCATCCTGACTCCCAGACACTCGGCCAACTGAAGTAGCTACTTGGGCATCCATAACTCACACTTCTCACTAATTGCTTTTTGGAAGTTCACATTTCTCTTTTGCCGGGTTTTCTTCTCCTTGGGACAGCTCAGACCTGGCAGAGAGCAAAACAATCAGCTGAGCGATAGAGGACCTCCTAACTTGCCTCCCTTTCCTCCGCTTGGCCTTCCCACCCCTCTAGTCTTTGCCCCCATAAGCCTTATCTCCCCCCGTCCACTCCTCCACTTCTTACTCTCTCTAATTGGGGTCAATTGGCTCCCATCAGAAAAGGCTAGCCCCACTGCCTGGAACACCTGAAGAGCATTGTCCCCGCCTCCGGGGCTGCACCCGAGGTTGTAGCTGTTCATGACTTCAAAGACCTGATAAGAAAAGGCCGGGATGCTTGGGCACAAAAGTGGCTCAGAGGCAGGACCACCCATTCAGCTATGGAAGAGAGGGCAGAGCACAAACAAAGAATGAGGAATTAGAGTAGGAAAATCGAGGTCCAAGGCTGAGAGGATGAGGACAGATAAGGAAGGGCCCAAGTGAGATCTAAGAATTGAGCTCACAGCTTAAGCTCAAGGAAGGAAGCAGAGAGGCAGGAAGATAGGGGAGAAGGCTTGACAAACCTTGCCCATGTCAAGGGGTTTATGGGACCTGCCACCCACAGCATACAAAGCCGTATCCACGGCTCCCAGCGCCACCAGTGCCAAGGAATCTGTCTGTATGTGGAGCTTGGCATTGTCCCCATTGCGATACTCCTTAGAACCATCCAGGTTAAGCTCCAGCTGGTGCAAACGAAAGGTAGGGTCAGTGGGAGTGGGGTCAATCAGCTTCTTTCAGCCCTGTGCATCTTCAAGTGTATCCCCATGGTCTGTGGGCAATTGCTCGGCTCCCCTATATTAGCACAAACACATCCCAACACTCTTCTCTTCCAACCTGTTACCTTGCCCTCACAGGCCCCGGCCTGTACATCCACTCGTAGAGAGTTGGCCACTGGGTGTCCTCTATGATAGTAGAAGGCCACAAAGTAGAAGGAAGGTGCCAGGTGATGGTCCACAAAGATGGAGACTGAGGTCAGGGTCCTCCTGGGCTCTCGACTGATAAACACAATCTCACCCCGGGAGAGGATCTGGACCAAGAAGAGGAGAAGCAAGAGTGGCTTCTTTTTCATTATATATCTTTTTTTTTTTGGGGGGGGGTCCGGTTGTGGGGCCTGAACTCTGGGCCTGGGCGCTGTCCCTCAGCTCTTCAGCTCAAGGCTAGCGCTCTACCACTTGAGCCACAGCGCCACTTCCAGCTTTTTTCTTATGTGGTGCTGAGGAATCGAACCCAGGGCCTCATGCATTGCAAGGCAAGCGCTCTACCACTGAGCCACCTTCCCAGCCCCTCATTATATATCTCTAGCCCTGAAACGATGCCCAGATGGTCCAAAGGGCTTTACTGCACCCTGGAATGGCTCTACTCCCCAACTATGCGTACCATGTAGTAGTAGTGAGAGAAGGTAGCACCACTGATGCCCACAGTTTGCAAGTTCAGGATGAAAGTATCTCCAACACGAGGGGGGTGAAGATCCAACCGCTGAATAGACAGAAAGCCAGGCCCTCCTGGGGGTGGGGCTTGTACCATGAGCTTGGCTATGGCTGGATAGAGGGAGCCTGCAGACACCTGGAGACACAGGAGGGTTGGGGTAGGGACAATGGCAAGGGACAAAATACCTGATCCCTGCTCCCGAGCTGAGCTATGGCCCCTCAGGAACTAGCTCACCCTCCTTCCCTTCCCACCCACCACCCTCATAGGTAAGAGGAACTCTACCAAGAGCTGCAGATCTGTGGTGGCGTGGGGGATCGTGATGGGAATGCTGATTTGGCCAGTCCCATCTGTGTTCTGCTGAAAGTCTTTGAGTGTAGAAACAGATCCAGAAGACAGTGTGGCAGAAACTTTGACAGGAATGTCAGAGGCTGGGGAACCTGACACTTCTCGGACCATGGCCTATATGGATGGGAGAAGGACCAGTAAAAGAAAGTGGTCAGCAAGATGGTGGACCCTTCTGACCCACACACACTCCCCTCCCATCCTTCCCTTCCAAGAGAAACCTGCAGCAGGAAGGGGGCCCCAGGCACGAGATGTCGCTTGGTGTTGCTAAGATCCAAGGAGAAGGGAGATGACACAAAACGCCAGGAAGTGAGTTCTGCTTCTTCCATCTCCCCCCCTGCAAAACAAAGGGCAGAGAGCTCCTAGGAGGAAAGGAACAGAGCATGGCAGGCAGTGGGGGGTGGGGGAGCGTGGAGGGAACCCAATCATTTCCCTTAATAGTGAGTTCCTCAGAGTATGGGAACCTATTCATCTCCACATTGGTTGAAATCCGACACAGGCTCCAGATGTGTGTAACATGTAATTACTGGATAAGTGAGTGGATGAATGACTGAATGAACAAAAATAAATAAACTGAGATGGGCAAAGAAGTAAAAAATCATGCAGCGTTTAAGAGAAATGATTTCTTGGGTTTTCCTAATTTGGGCCCGAGGAAAGCTGACACAAGTTAGGGATAATGCTGATGGTGAAGAATAGGGCCAGCATTATAATGTGGATCTTAAAAGTCCCCGCCAAAGGTCAGGCTTAGGTCCCAGCACAGCACTATTAGGAGGTGATAAACCTTTCAAAGACAGGGTTGGGGGGAAAGTCTTTAAGTCATTGGGGGGTGCCCTCCAAGGGGACAATGAGACTCCAGATCCTCCTTGTTCCATCTCCTGGCATGGAGTGAGCATTTTGGTTCTGTCACACACTCCCTGCCACAATGAGCTACCTCATCACAGAGCCGACAGATCACACACTAGAACCTCCAAATTCCTAAGTTGAAATAAACCTTTTCTTCTTTATAAGCTGATTTTCTCACGTATTTGTTACAGGAATGGAAAGCTGACTAATACAGTCAGCTCAGAGGGAACACAGGTAAGGGGCTGGAGTTATAATAAAAGAAAGTCACCCACCTGGAGACTCAATGATGGCTGCTGCAACATAGAGGCGCAGTCCAAGAAGGTCAGCGATACTAATGCCAAGCTTCTGCAGAGCACCCTGGACCTCAGCCTTTGAGAGGGAGATGTGGTTCTGGCCATCCACCAACTGAGACACAGGAGAAAACAGAAAGTAGGGTGAGACTGAAGGTCCCCATTTCTCCTCTCCAGTACCAAACCCCTATCTCCATCCTACCTTGTTTTGGGTCTCCAGTCCCCGCAGGAAAGACTTTTGGCCATCTTCATCCAGGAGCGCAAAGCGCACATATGCCACCCCCTGCACAGGCTTCCCATACATGTACCTGTTGCCATAAGGAGAAGGTGGACCAAAGGATGGGGGAGATAATGATCCAGAAGAGAGGGAAACTGGGAGCCTGTTCACTTGTAAGGGGGGCCCAGGAGCAGAACCTATTTGGGGAGTGGGTGTTACCTGGCCTGGATGTCTAACTGGATTTCCCCAAGGTTGTCAGGAGTAGTCAGGATATAGGGCTTCTCAGGAATGATCTTCACTTCAAAGTTGGGAAGAACTGGCCCAGGGTAAAGAGGCAAGTAGGTCAGACCCTAGTGAAAGGACCAGTGGCCCCATATCTATACTCCTAGCTACTCAGGAGGCTGAGATCTGAGGATTGCAGTTCAAAGCCAGCCCAGGCAGAAATGTCTGTGAGACATTTTTTTTTTGGTGGGGGGAGGAGGGATGAGGGAAGAGGAGGACCCGGTCGTGGGGCCTGAACTCTAGGCCTGGGCACTGTCCCTCAGTTCTTCACCTCTAGGCTAGTGCTCTACCACTTGAGCCACAGCGCCATTTCTGGCTTTTTTTCCTGTTTATGTGGTGCTGAGGACTCGAACCCAGGGCCTCATGCATGCAAGGCAAGCGCTCTACCACTGACTGAGCCACCTTGCCAGCCCGTCTGTGAGACTCTTATCTCCAATTAACCACTCCAAAGCCAGAAGTGGAGCTGTGGGCCCAAGTGGTTGAGCACTAGCCTGGAGCAAAAATAGCTCAGGGATAGTGCCCAGGCCCTGAGTTCAAGCCCCACAACTAACAAAAAAACAACCACACACAAAAAAACTCCCTTTCCATCGGGGCTTCCCTGCCCCTTCTACCCTCTCACCTCTCATTTCCTTCACCAAAAGAGCAGGGCTCACCATATTTTTTCACCTCAAACTGGGTGCTGCTGTTGGATTCCATGCTATCTGAGAATCGGGCTGAGATTTTCCAAGTCCCTGGTCTAAAAACAGACAAAGAAGGGATTCAGCCTACCTGAGCAGGTGGGTCATAAACATCCAGGACCCTGAAGCCCTAGGAAAGAAGCTGGGAAGGCAAACCAAATGTCGAGGAGGGCCATGCTCAGGGCATCTGAAAGGTAACTGTGTGTTGGAGATAGAGAGCCCCTGGGCAAAGGAGAATTGGAGTGTCTAGATCAGGGAGGGGACGGAACACCCTCAGTTCAGGGAAGCTCACTCTGAGATGTCTGGAATCACAAAGTCATCCTGCAAGATGGACGTGGGAACATAAACCTCCTTCTTCCGTACAAGGAGGCCATGAGAGTTCTGCAAGAGCAGCAGAAATGGTCTCAAGTGGGAGATCACATACAAGAAGTACGGTCAAGAAGGCCAGAGGTCAGGGACTCACCTCCACCATAACTGTGAGAGTGTCAGTGGCTGGGCGCATCTTTTGATCGAGTGCAAAGACCCGGTACCTAACTGGAAGTGGAAATGAGAGAGGGCTGAGCAGGAATCTATATGTTACAAAGGGAGGGTGAGCTTAATTCCAAGGTGTAAAGCTTGCTAACAAGTCCTAAGTGGGCAGGGAGGGAGGTAAAGAAGAGGCCTGAAGACTGAGGCTCACCCCGCTGGCCAGGGTTATAAATGGGCTGGTCAGTCTGCAGAAAGAGGTGCCCCCGGCGAGAAGAGAAGAGCAAGTTGACACCCTGAACATCTGTCTTCCTGGAGAGAGAGTTCTTCAGCCATGGAGTCTGGGCCACCAGCTGGACTTCAGGGTTTCTGTGCAGTTGGGAGAGTTTACAGTTCATTACATCCCTGATGGAGACCTGTCAAGAAAAGGAGAGAAGGTCAGACAGCAGAAGGAAACAAAGACCAAGATAGAAACACCGAAGAGTCTATGGGAATGGAAAAAGAGGAAGGAGGCCAGTGAGGAAGACAAAGTCATTTAGAGGGTATGAGAGCATTACCGGAAGGCTGAGGAGTACCAAGTCTTTTTCTGAACTGAGGGTGAAGTCCTTCTTCGGGGAGCAAGGAACATTATTGTTACTTGGGTTTCTCAGGAAGACATGTCCTTTTACTACTTGTCCCGGGGGTGCGTCAAGGAGCTGTATTCCCACCGACAGGGGAGTTCTTAGCTTTGCCACAGAAGGAGAGAACAGGAGCAACCTAGAGAGAGTGGTGAAGGATAGCAGTTAGACTACCAGACACATGCACCCTGGCATCCCCTCACTTTTGAATCAAACCCCATCTCCAGTTCTGCCCCCCCCCCATCCAAGCATTCAATATCTTGAGTATCTTGCCCCAGGACCTGGGCTCCTGAAGAGACAAAACAAAAAAACTGGATGCCCAGATCAGTCCCCAGAGGAGCCTCATGACTGGAGGCTCCAAGAGGGATCTGGTTTGTCTGTCTGCTCCCCTCTGGTCAACCTAGGGCTTAAAACAGAGTTGACTCTGGACCTTGCCCCTCCCCTAGCCTGTCTAAGCCGGGAAACCACGTGATGGGCAAGAAATGCAACTGGCCCCAGGCCCAGTGATTGGGGGAGCAGCCTGGACACCAGGGTCCCTGAGGGAGTCTGAAGAAATCTTGGCCCAGAGACAGATCTTGTCCTTCCTTGTTAACTCCCTCATTCCAATACTGGGCCCCTTCCCTTAACTGAGTACATCTCTGTGCATGTTATGCAAGCAAATGGGCTTGCCTATGTGTAAGCCCACAGTGGCTGAGATATACAGGGCATTTAAAGGTCCCAGCAAGCCAGGGATGGGCTTCGAAGCCACTGACCTGTTTTACCACAACTCAAACTGAACTTCTGTGACCCCCAACAGGAACTCTGTGGTTCAGGACATCAGGTGCATCCACACCACACACAAGAAGAGCCTGAATGTCAAGAAACCCTGTATTTTCTCAATAATAAGTCAAATTTCAGGCCTAAGTTTGGCGCTTTTTTTTTTAACCTCTAGATGAGACACCTGAACACACATGACAGTACACAAAGACACCCAGAAAATTTCATGGACAGAAGTACTTTATTTATCAGTTTCAACCAAACATGTAGGGCAGATGACCCTGCCTCTTTCCCCAGCCTTCTTTCCCAGGCTCCCCAGCAGTCCCACCTTTTTATCCCAAGACAGAGCAACAGCAGTACCCTCTCCATGACAGACAGCATATATAGTTTTGGCACAGTTTCTAGCTTCACATACGTGGAAGAGCAAAGGAGCTCTGCCCACAGCCCACCACAAGTCAGAGCCCAGGCTCCCAGCAGCAAACCTATTTGGTCCTCTGTGCCCATGAGAGCCCAGCACCTGTCCTAGTGCCCAGGCTCCCTAAAGCAACTCTGGCCTCAGTCACCACTGGGAAGTACTTTCAGGACCCTTTAGCCCCACTTCAAGGCACTGCGCAAGGATCAGAATCCTCACGTGTCTGGCAGGCGGAGGAGGGTTCCAGAGGTAGTGGAGACACTGTGAATGAAAAACACAATATTGGAGTAAGCTTCCTGGGCCCAAAGTGTGGACCTCAGGACTTGACAAAGGGTGTTCCTGGGCTTTCCTGGTCAATGAAGCATGAGCCAGGAGGAAATCCAACTCTGAGCATTGCTCTGTCATCAGACAGAGGACAGAGGGATACTCACCAGTCTACCAGCTGCGCTCCAATGAGATCATGGGCATGGTAGGTAAGGCCTAGCCGTACTGCAGAAGGTGCCCGCCGGCTTAGGAGCTCTGATAGGAGCAGCTCTCGGTACTTAGCCTTCCGAACCATGCCAAGGACAGCCTGGCGTCCTGGAGAAGGGATCCAGGAGAGGGGAAAGGTGAAGAGGCCTGGAGAGCCACCGATGGGTGTTCTTAAGGAGCTGAGGACTCAAGGATACCTTTAACAAAGTACTTGATGAATCTCCCAGCTCCAGGCACAGCTAGCCACCAGCTGCCAGCATCACGGACTGTGAGGACTCCAGCATTCACCAATTGTCTATGGGAGGGGAAGAGAGATGCAGCCTGGACTCTGAGAACCATCTTTCCTCCCCATCTATTCATGTTTGGACACTAGTCTCCAGAAACAGGCAACAATGCAAGAGGAAGCAGCTAAGAAAATGCAAGCGGGGGCAATGTGTGTTCACACTTTGTCGTTTGCCACCTCTGTTACCCCTGCTGGCTTCATTGGCCCTGCCTGGAACTCCCTCCTGTCACTAGTACATTTTCATTAAATCAGCTTCTCCTCAGATGCCCTCCCTGAGCACAAGCCCTGAAACACACTGAGGAAAGACTTCTCTGGGCCAACTCAGGCCTATGCAATCTCACCAGAGTTCCTGCCACATTTTACTACCATTACTACCAGTATCTCCTTCCCTAGAGAAGATCAGTACTTGATATTTAGGATGCTTTCATATTCATAATTACTAACTAGGAGGCCAGAGCTAGATATGACTCCCTTATACTTACTTAATCCTTGTATATGTTTTCTCCCAGGGTGGGGGTGGAATGTTTTGAGATGGGGTCCTGCTATTCAGTTCAGGCCAGCCTTAGCCTTATGATCCTTCTGTTTTCAGGCTCTTGAGTGTTGCCTGGCTTAGGGGGCTTTTTTGAATGGGAATGTTAGACATCGCAGCTCCTGCCCATCTCTATCCTCTTAGTCCCAGTATGATTAACACCAGACATTTATGGTTCCTGACAGGCCCCATATGCATTTAATAAGCCCCCTGTTCTCTTGAACTGTAATCTAGGACTCTTTCCAAGACCCCATCTAAAACAGGCCTCCTCTCTCCCAAGGAGAAGAATAAGCAGGTCATTTTATTAAATAGAAGAGCCAAACCTTTTTGGAAAGTTCACTAAAAAGTCAGGATGGATTAGATTAGAGGGAGGCTGGGAAGTCCCTTTTGATCCCACAATTCTCACGTGATCTCTGGGTCCCTGAAGCCAAAAGTCTGTGTCATTTGGTCCTGCTGGAAACTAAGATCCCCACAGGCTGGAAGTACTGAGGTCAGGAACTTCTGCACTGCCCCAGCATATGGTCGACCATCGCAGGCCTTGAGGACCTGGAACCAGAGATCAGATTCCAGATTCATGGCCTAGCTCCCCTCCACCTACCCCCCACCCCCTCCACCAGGACAGTGTCTCTTCTTGGTTCTCCTGAGGTTATTTTCTTTTTGATTCTCTCTCTTCCTTCTCTTCCTCTTGTCTTGCATGCTCGCTCTCTCTCTCTCATTGGTTGTGGGATTGAACTTGAGTCCTGGGTGCTATCCCTGAGCTTTTATGCTCAAGATTAGTGCTCTACCACTTTAAGCCACAGCTCTACTTCCAGGTTTTTGGTTAACTGGACATGAGTCTCATGAACTCTCCTGCCCATGCTGGCTTTGAACCAAGATCCCCTGATCTCAGGCTCCTGAGTAGGTATGAGCCAAGAGTACCCAGCTCTCCCTCTCTCATTTTACTACTTACCAGGGCCTTATTCCTTCTCCAGTAGGGTGTGGGGTAAGGAAATGTTTTCTTTTTACTTCCATTTCTTAATTTCCCTGCCCCCCCTCCTTCACCTTCCCATCTATCACACAACACACACACACACACACACACACACACACACACACACACAGAGTCACACATACTCTGGTCTTGTAGTCCTCAGTGTAGATAATTCCATGGGCATCCAAGTCGAAGCCCAGCTGGATGATTCTGATTTCGCCACACTCTTGAAGCTCCTTCTGTCTCCAGAGATGGGAGTAGAAAGAAGGAGGTCAGGGTAAGATTATATTTCGAGCATTTGGGAGCAGAGAGATTTTTGCTTGCCAATACTGGGCACATTTTTATTGTGTGGGAAGGTAGGTCAAACAGCTTTTCCAGGTACTTGCCCACTCTACCATCCTGCCTTATGAGTTGTCTGTCAATCAATATGTATTTTCCAAGACTAGACCCATGCCAAGCACGAAGATAAAATACTAATTAAGATGGGCACGAAGATAAGACTAGACCCATGCCAAGCACGAAGATAAAATACTAATTAAGTGGCTCACACTTAAAATGCTACGTTACTCAGGAGACTGAGATCTGAAGATAATGTTCAAAGCCAGCTCAGGCAAGAAAGTCCATGGGACACTTATCATCAATTAATCAGAAAAGAAAGAAAGAAAGAAAGAAAAAACAGAAGTAGAGCTGTAGTTCAAATGGTAGAATACCAGCCTGGAATGAAAAAGCTAAGGGACATCACCCAGGCTCTGAGTTCAAGACCCAATAACGGTGCAAAACAAAAACGAACGTACAAAAACACCATTGGCCCTATCACTAAGAACTTAGCAGTCTCATGTTCGCTTCAGCAGCACATATACTAAAATTGGAACGATACAAGAAGATTAGCATGACCCCTGCGCAAGGATGACATGCAAATTCGTGAAGCGTTCCATATTAAAAAAAAAAAAAAAGACCTTAGCAGTCTCAATTTAGGGTGGTAGAAGGTAAGAGGAAAGGATAAAATATTTAAAACAAGAATATAAAAGGACTGCTGCTTGTAGGAATACAACAAAACCAAACCACCTATGCTGAAACATTATCTTCAAATATTTGCTATAATACTCTTTTTAAAAAATATCTCTTTAAGCATTAAAGAGCTTACAAAATGAAATTAGACTAACAAAAATCAAAATAGGAACTCAGAAAGAATTGAAACATGAAAGGCACTTGCTGATCTAAGCAAATCTGGTCAGCACAGAGCCAAAAATAACTTCGTTACACAAGAAACAAAACTCAAAAGAAACAAACCATAGCCAGGCGCCAGTGGCTCACGCCTATAATCCTAGCTACTCAGGAGGCTGAGATCTAAGGATCATGGTTCAAAGCCAGCCTGGGCAGAAAAGTCTGTGAGACTCTTATCTCCAATAAACCACTCAGAAAACTGGAAGTGGTGCTATGGCTCAAGTGGCAGAGTGCTAGCCTTGAGCTGAAGAGCGGAGAGACAGCGCCCAGGCCGAGTTCAAGTCCCGAGACAGATTAAAAAAAACAAAATAGAACATAAAAGACACATGGGGCTAGTGCGCTGTGTGTGTATATATGTCTGTCTATCTTTCTCTGTCTCTCTCTTCCCCCCCAAACTAATTACATAAGAAGAATAAATTCTACTGCTCTCCACCATAGCAATAGATGGCAATAGTTCATAACAATTTATTACATATTTTATAAAGAAATGGCTGAGGTTATAGTGCAGTGATACAGCATTGGCTGACATTTTAAAAAGAGGATGGAAGAGAAAAATGAGAGTTTACAGGTTCCCAACAGAAATGCTAACTACCCTAACTGGTCCTTTTACATTATACACATGTAACAAAACATCATCATACACTATTAATATGTGCAATTATCTTATGTCAAAGACTGCCTTTAAAAACATCCATAAAGCCAGGCGCTGGTGGCTTATGCCTGTAATTCTAGCTACTCAGGAGGCTAAGAT